ATTTCAATAAACTCAGAGAGAACTTGGGAAAGATTCCATGGATGAAAATCCTAAAGGGGAAAACAACTCAAGAATCTTGGGAAACTCTAAAAAGTATGATCATAGAAGCCCAGACCAGCACAATATCACTGAGAAAGAAAACAAGAAATCCAAGAAGAAACCGGCATGGCTGCACAAAGATCTCTATGGCAAATTAAAAGAAAAAAAAGGACAAGTACAAAAAATGGAAAGAAGGACATACAACTAAGGCAAAATATCAGCAGATAGCCAGAATCTGCAAAGACGAAGTCAGGATAGCAAAGGCTCAGAACGAACAAAGACTTGTAACAAAAGTCAAAGATAATAAAAAAAAATTCTTCCAATATATAAATAACAAAACAAAAAATCAAGGAAATAGTCGGTCCACTAAAGAGAGAAAATGGCAAGGAAGTAACAGGCAACAGAGAGAAAGCAGAACTGCTTAACTCATTCTTTGCATCCGTCTTCATGCAAAAAGAAACTATAGCTCAACCCACCAAAAACATAACTGTAAAAAACAGACCAGAAATAAAAGTTAAAATAAGCAAAAAATAGTAAGAGAACACCTGTCTGATCTTGATGAAAACAAATCATCAGGGCCTGATGGATTACATTCCAGACTTTTAAAACAGCTGGCAGAGGTCATCTCAGAACCACTGCACCATATCTTTCAAAACTCCTGGAACACCGAGGAACTACCAGAGGACTGGAAAAGAGCTGATGTGGTTCCCATCTTCAAAAAAGGAAAAAAAGACCCAGGAAACTACAGACCAATCAGCCTAAAATTAATACCTGGGAAGATACTGGAAAAGATAATAAAAAAAACAGATCTGCCAACATCTAAAAACAAACAAAGTGATAACTAGCAGTCAGCATGGGTTTGTTAAAAACAGATCATGCCAAACCAATCTTATTTCATTCTTCAAAACAGTGACTAAATTAGTAGACCAGCAAAATACTGTGGACATAATATATTTAGATTTCAGCAAGGCATTCAACAAAGTAGACCACAACCTACTTCTTAGTAAGCTAGAAAAAAGTAGAATAGATAGCACCACCACTAGATGGATTCGCAACTGGCTGGCAAACCGTACTCAACGAGTAGTCCTTAATGGGTCTAAGTCTGCATGGAGGGAAGTAAGCAGTGGGGTACCACAAGGTTCCGTCTTAGGCCCAATACTCTTCAATATCTTCATTAACGACTTAGATGAGGGAATAGAAGGGGATGATACTAAGCTGGCAGGAATAGCTAACACCCAAGGAGATAGGCTCAAAATCCAGATAGATCTTGACAGACTAGAACACTGGGCCATATCTAACAAAATGAAATTCAATGTAGAGAAAAGTAAAGTCCTACACTTAGGCAAGAAAAACCAAAAGTTCACATATAGACTGGGTGAAACCAGGCTCAATAGCAGTAACTGTGAGAGGTATCTTGGAGTCTTAGTGGACAACCAGCTAAATATGAGCCAGCAGTGTGCAGTAGTAGCCAAAAAAGCTAATGCAATCCTAAATTGTATTAACAGAGGGATACTATCAAGATCAAGGGACGTACTAATACCACTCTATAAAGCCTTAGTAAGACCACGCCTAGAGTACTGCATCCAGTTTTGTTCACCACATTATAAAAAAGATGTTGAGACTCTAGAAAAAGTACAGAGAAGAGCAACCAGGATGATTAGAGGACTGGAGGCTAAAACATACAACGAACGGTTGCAGGAACGGGACTTGGCTAGTCTAGTAAAGAGAGGGAGACATGATAGCGGTCTTCCATATTTGAGGTGCTGCCACAGGAAGGAAGGGGTCAAACTATTTTCTAAAGTGCCTCTAGGCCAGATAAGGAATAATGGATGGAAACTGAACAAGGAGAGATTTAATCTGGAAATAAGGAGAAACTTGCTGACAGTGAGAACAATCAACCAATGGAACAGCTTGCCCTCGGAATTGTGGGAGCCCCATCACTTGAGACTTTCAAGAAGAAATTGGACTGCCATTTGTCAGAAATGGTGTAAGGTCTCCCGCTTGGGTGTGGGGTTGGACTAGATGACCTACAAGGTCCCTTCCAACTCTGATTATCTGTTATCTGTTAAAATGAAAGTTATTTTGAAGGGACGGTGCCAATATTATAGAATTCTGGTTTATTAAATGATGCATGGAAAAAGCTATGTTAATCTTTCTTGTCATTCTTCTAAACCTTCTATATTTGCTTTTTCATTAATACATGTTTTCTAAAATATATTGATCTTTCTAATTCCTTATCCTTTCTTGCTCCCGATTAAATCATTTGTTCATTCTTTCTGAACACACATAGAGGTCAGACTTTAGCAGTCACAGAGCAACTTAATAAGAGTAGCATTTCATTTATGTCAAGTTTTTTTCTTCTGGAATCTCTAAAGGAATTGCACTACCTACAAAGATAATAAACCTGTTACAGTTTACAGTATTTCTTTTCTTGAGGAAAGAACTTGGAGATGAAAACTAGTTTGAGATTAAAAACAGGATAAAATAGGCTTGTAAAGGAGAGCTAAAATATCATCATAAATGTGATTATATAGTGCAATTTTTCCTATGAGGACAAGTTTATTTCCCCAAATAATTTTGGTGAATTGAGGAGGCATTCATCTTACATTCATTGAAAAGAATAATATGAAAAAAAGAAAAACAGTTGATCGTGCCTTTGAAGGTTAGCTAGTTCTGGGAAAGGAAATTTACCCTTAACCCTTTTTGAAATCCCTACATAGAGCTTCACTTTTTAAAATTATCTCTTCCCTGTCTCTATTCATTTTTGTTTTCCCCTTTTGCTTTTCTGTCCGTAGACAGCTTCCTTCTTTATATCATATATCCATCTTCACACTTATTTTTTCTTCTTTTTCTCCTGGAAATAGGAAGAAAGGTTTTCATTGCACCTTTATATATTTTATAGTATAAAAATTTAATGCGTATGTGTGTCTGTGTGTTTGTGCACAAAAAGCTAACAGTGATATTGGATGGTATATACAGGCAAGAATCAATTCATGTTCCCTATTTTACTGGAAACTAGTTTTAATTAATAGTTATGAACATTGATTATGCATAGCTTAGACCCTGCTATTTTTTTAAGGGGATGTGTTTTTGATCAGGATGGTATCAGGTCCAATGTTTGTTTATATATTTATACCACACACCCAAATACACACATGTACATGATCGTGCATCCATGCACAGATTTATGGGAGGAGAGAAACACCAGCATGATGAAACTACTGATTAAATGATGTTGCCCAGGGTTATAGTTTTTATAGGCTATTTTGTAGAATTTCTTTTAAACCTCTTCTTTAGAAATTTTCCAAAGGAAGATTTGTATTAATTTTATAATTATTTCTTAAACACAATGAATAAAGCACTGGAATTAAGGGATATTTCAGGTATAAATATTTGGCTAGGTTTTCCTGAACAAAATGCACATATTGAGATGCTTCTAAAATATTGTTATTTTGAAGAGGATATCAAAAGGATTATATTAACTTATATTTGCTCCAGAGAAATACAGAAAGGAGAAAGGCACAGGCTTTGTGCACTTGTGGGAGATTTAATAATCCATTATTTACTTGTTAAACCAAGGTCTAAATCAAAACCGAACATTTAGCCTATAGCAAAAATGCACATATCAACGATTTCAGGATATGTTACTTCAGTTCTGCATCTCTTCATAAATAATCTTTATTTTTGAAAACAGTTTTAGATTGTTTTCAAACATTTTCAGTTTTAGTCCAGTGCTGAAGTCTGTCAAGATCCTTCTGAAACTCGATCTATCTTCTAAAGTGGTAACTATTCTGGCCAACTTGGTGTCTGCAAATTTGACGAGTGCCCTTTCTATCCACTCATCTAAATCATTTATGAAGATGCTGAAGAGTACTGGGCCTAAGTCAGAACCTTGGAGCAACCTACTGCATGGTTTCCTCCAAGTTTCATTTTGGACTACCCATTGAGCGCTGTTGATCAGTCAGTTACAAATCCATCTGGTGGTGATATTGTCTATTCTACTTTGTCCTATCTTACCAAGAAATAGGCTATGGTCTGCTTTACCAAATGCCTTACTGAAACCTAAATTCACAGCATTTCCCTTATCCACTAATTTAGTCACTTTGTCAAAGTGACTAAATAAAGTTTATCTGCCATGATCTTTATTTGACAAACTGATGCTGGCTTCTAGTAATTGTCTTTTTCTGGAGGGCTTTCCATTTTAAGCATTACAAGGGACAACAATTAATTGTAAGAAAAATCACATAAATATCCCATTCCTGCGCATATTTGGTCATTTCAATTTAGTTAAAACTTTTTGCTCTCCTGTTCCTGGTACAACTCCCCCCCCCCCCCAATCTTTTTGTAGGAAACTTTAGCTACTTATATGTTCAATACAAAGTGCTTTTTAGAATTCATTAAATTGCCTTCCTTTCTGTGTACCATTTACTTTCCTTTAATTCAATGTGATTGCGTGTAACAAGAACAATTTACTCTACATGGGGCCTCTAAGTGACATGGATACCTGTAGTCTTTCAAATCTGGCTCCTCTTTTTCTGAATTAATTATTACTAAAGTGTTTGCTTTTATAGGTTTCCAATTATGCCATTTCGTATACCATCTTTTTTATTTGTTTTGTTCTGCATTTTGCAGTTTAAAAATGCTCAGTCAATAAAATCCATGCCACCAAAGAAAAGAAAAGATAGATCCAGACCCCACAACAAAAGAATCACTCAGGTTTACCTGTGGTGTGTTATTTTGCAATGGCTCAAATTATTAGGATCCTTAAGTACATGGAAAGAAAGAAGCATAAATACAAATCACACCAACCAGTAACACAGAAGATGCTGAATTCCTGAGCTTCTGCTCCAGGACTATTAGAGCAGTTGTGTATCAGAGCATTATGGAATTTTTCCTTTTGTCCTCTCACCCTCTTTATTCAATACAAGGTGAACAAATGTAGTTTGTATAGTAGCATTTACCTTCCTCACAGTTTTCGCCTTTGTATCCTACAGAGCAAACACAGTTCCCTTCAATGCAAGAACCATGGCCTCCGCACGATGGATCAATACACTGGCTGATGGGTATGTCACACTCTGGCCCTTTCCAGCCACTGTAGCACAAACAGGCTCCTTTGGTGTATTGTCCATTACCACTGCACAGAACTGGACACGCAGCTAGATAATTGAATGGAAAAAAGGAAACAAAACAGCATGTCAATATCCAACTTGTATAAGGATATGCTGACTTTACTAGCAAGAAACAGACTTTTAAAAGTGTTTGAATAAAAAAAAATGCCAATACATGCTGTTCTGATTTATTTAAGATAATTTAGGCTTTAGGTTTCTAGAGATGCAAAAATTTTTTGCTGAAGCATCTTCATCTTGATAAAAAGAGAATCTCCACTGTAGGGTTTGAATCAAACTTTTATATTGCCAGCATTATTTCAATAAATACAACCATTTTCACATTTGCTGTAATCGATCGTTTGAAATCAATTATATTAAAAAATAACTATATAAAACAATGTATGATTGGGCATATTGAAAATCACAGCATTATCCTTGCAGACAATTTTTTCTAAGTAATTTTGATGTTACAACATTAAGTATAAATACTATTTTAAATATTAACAATATCAACATGAATACTTCCTGAAGATGGAGTAAATTCTAAGGCAAAATAATATTAGTAGATGCTATAGTACAGTGATTCACACCTTGGCAAATTAGAATAAAACAAGCAAAGCTTAATTTACAAACTTTCTTGTCACAACTTTAAATATTGCTCAGAGAAACTTTGATGTAGTTTCCATAATTTAAAAACAAATTCAAGTTCTTAAAAACCCAGGTTTGCCCAGGCATATGGCTCTTTATGGATTATGGCTCTTGAAATTATGATTTCTTTTTAAGTGAAAGTAGCTGGAATATTATACAGTTCACAACTATTATACTATACAACACATTTTCCATTTCCATTCAAATATGGTTGACCCTGCTTATAATATATTATTAATTATTTTGTGTCTTCAAATTAATGTTTATTCCTGGTGAATGCCTGGACAAATTCCTGCATTTTTCAAGTGAGATTTCAGAAGTGGTTTGTCCTTGCTTACTTCCCAGGACTAAAAGAGTATGACTGGACCAAAGTAATGTAGCTGATTTTTGTGCCCAAGGCGAGACTAGAACTCACAGATTCTGGTGCCTTAATCACTATATCAAAATGTGTTCCATGATATAAGAATCATAAAGTATACCCTTGGTTGATTTCCAAAAACTAAACTAGCTTGGTATTTGACTGGGAGACCACTAAAGAAAATCTCAGATCTAGATTATTTAAGAAGAAAGCTTATAATGTGAATACTTAATAATAATACCAAGTTATTCTATGTGATATATTGCCTAAATACATGTATGGAATGAAAAAAATGCCTGGACAGAATAAAAAGCATTAATAGATTTATCTGATTTATGCTTATAATAAAAATTTCAAATATAGCACTTTTCCTGGAACTTACCATTCAGACACAAACCATCTTTTTTTCTAATAGACAACCAACTATATTATCATGTTATTCAAAACATGAATCCCCTGATTCAAAAAAATGATGGCACCAGAACACAACACCACTATTACATTTCCTGTTAGGAACCTATTTGGTTAGCAGATGCTGCCATGATGAGAATTGCAAGATGTACTATAAGAACAGCCAACTACTCCTGTCCAACTAGGCAAAGGTCAAGCAGGATAAATAAATGTCTATAAATTGCTACTTTTGCATACAAAAGTCTAAATGTGTGTGTATGGGATGGGAAGATGGGCTCTACTTATTACTGGGGTGCACATTCTCATGCTCCTATCTTCAAACTAAAAGACTATGAAGGAAGAAGTTAATTATTCTATAGACCACTGGGAAGAACAGTATGGACTGACATGCAATAAATCTATTGTTGATACTCTTCAGGCTGACCCACTGAGAATCCTTCCTCAAGAGGATAATTAATTCTGCATCTGCAATAATTCAGACTAGACCACTCCTTGGGAATCCCTCCTCAAGAGGGTAATTAATTCTCCATCTCCAATAAGTCAGACTTGATCATTCCTTTAATAGGAATTAAACTGCTGCTGGTATGATATTGGATATGTTTTCTCAAAGGAGAGAAATATCAGATAGTGTTTCCTAATGTCTATTTTTCTTACTTTGATATTGCATTTTCTTAAGATTTGGACATCTAATCACAGTACGCAGCATAACAGAGCTTAAAGTACAGTATATCCTTTCTTTGCTTAGGCCTTACAAAGACAAGGAAAAGAGCTGATGTGGTTCCTATCTTCAAAAAAGGGAAAAAAACAGACCCAGGAAACTATATACCAATCAGCCTAATATCAATACCTGGGAAGATACTGGAAAAGATAATAAAAAAACAGATCTGCCAACATCTAGAAACAAAGTGATAACTAGCAGTCAGCACGGGTTTGTTAAAAACAGATCATGCCAAACCAATCTTATTTCATTCTTCAACACAGTGACTAAATTAGTAGACCAGCAAAATATTGTGGACATAATATATTTAGATTTCAGCAAGGCATTCGACAAAGTAGACCACAACCTACTTCTTAGTAAGCTAGAAAAAAGTGGAATAGATAGCACCACCACTAGATGGACTCGCAACTGGCTGGCAAACCGTACTCAACGAGTAGTTCTTAATGGGTCTAGGTCTACATGGAGGGAAGTAAGCAGTGGGATGCCAAAAGGTTCCGTCTTAGGCCCAGTACTCTTCAATATCTTCATTAACGTCTTAGATGAGGGAATAGAAGGGGAACTTACCAAATTTGCAGATGATACTAAGCTGGCAGGAATAGCTAACACCCAAGAAGATAGGCTCAAGATCCAGATGGATCTTGACAGATTAGAACACTGGGCCATATCTAACAAAATGAAATTCAATGTAGAGAAAAGTAAAGTCCTACACTTAGGCAAGAAAAACCAAAAGTACACATATAGACTGGGTGAAACCAGGCTCAATAGCAGTAACTGTGAAAGGGATCTTGGAGTCTTAGTGGACAACCAGCTGAATATGAGCCAGCAGTGTGCAGCAGAGCCAAAAAAGTTAATGCAATCCTAAATTGTATTAACAGAGGGATACAATCAAGATCAAGGGACGTACTAATACCACTCTATAAAGCCTTAGTAAGACCACACCTAGAGTACTGCATCCAGTTTTGTTCACCACATTATAAAAAAGATGTTGAGACTCTAGAAAAAGTACAGAGAAGAGCAACCAGGATGATTAGGGGACTGGAGGCTAAAACATAAAATGAATGGTTGCAGGAACTGGGCTTGGCTAGTCTAGTAAAGAGAAGGACCAGGGGAGACATGATAGCGGTCTTCCAATATTTGAGAGGCTGCCACAGGGAGGAAGGGGTCAAGCTATTTTCTAAAGCACCTGTAGGCCAGATAAGGAATAATGAATGGAAACAGAACAAGGAGAGATTTAACCTGGAAATAAGGAGAAACTTTCTGACAGTGAGAACAATCAACCAATGGAACAGCTTGCCCTCGGAAGTTGTGGGAGCGCCATCACTTGAGACTTTCAAGAAGAAATTGGACTGCCATTTGTCAGAAATGGTGTAAGGTCTCCCACTTGGGTAGGGGGGTTGGACTAGAATAGATGACCTACAAGGTCCCTTCCAACTCTGATTATCTGTTATCTGTTTTAATAATACGGCAATAAACAGTGTCGTAATTGCCACTAGAGGGCAACACAGCTAATAGACTTACTTTAATTAAAGTATTTAGGCAAATAGAGAAACTTTACCTTGTGTCAGAATTATTGCAAAACTAATGCCAGCTTTACTTGGAAAAAGACAATAATCCAGCATTGAAATTTTTTTTTTAGAAAAGTTCCTTTACCTTATATAGTATTTTCCACAAGAATGTTATTTTTGTTTTTGATTCCAATTCAAATCAGTCTTGACTCCAGGCAACTGTCTGGGCAAGTCCCTTCCATTTTCTTGGAAAGATTTCAGAAATGATTTTCCATTTCCTGCTTCCTAGGGCTGACAGAGAATGATTGGCTCAAGGCCACCTAAAGCGATACTAGAACTCACACTTCCAGTTTCTAGCCTGATGTCTTAACCATCACTCCAAATTGGCCAACTGTAAGGGTGTGTGGAATTAAACCTCCATGAACTTCTTAAAATACAGACTTATTTCAAATAATTGGCTACTAATTGTTGAGGTTTATATGGGGACACGTAAGACATCCAAATGAATACAATGTAGTTTAACCAACATAAATGACAAGCACATTTGGCATGATTGAATCTTTCCAATCATCTTAAAGAACAGTCATACAGAAAGCAGCTCCTGACAATCCAACTGGGACATTAGTATACCCCTCATGTGACAAAAATGAACTAAGTACACAGAAAACACAAGAACCAGAATATCAAAACACTTGATGAAACCATTAGGTCACTGAATGTAATACTATTGCTCAGTGTAAAGTTCAGTATAAAGTCCAGGGAATGATTGTCTCGCTGCCACCTGAATACATCTAATGGAGGGGAACCCGTCATGTCTTTAGGTAATTGGTGCATTGTAGAACTTCTCTAATTATTTAGGAGTTTTTTGTCTTATATATTTATTGAGGCATTATACAAATTCCTAAATAAATATTTAACATTGAACTGTGAGTTCTCTTATCTCTTGTAATAATAGTTCTTTCCTTTTTCTATCCATCAATATATTCTGCAGAATGATGTACTGTATATTATCTTACATCCTGGTTTTGGGGTACAAAGGTTCAAAGTTCTCATCATTCTAATGAGAGTTGGTCTAGAAATACAATATCTGAAAAGTTTACTCTCCTGTGCTATCAAACTACATGTTAGCAGGCAAGGCAGAGAATCATAGGACAAAAAATTCATCAGGTGTGTCAAATCCCTAATATTCAAAAACCATGTGGGGAAAGCAGCACACGCTGACTTAAGCACTAAAGTATGGATGCTTTAATTAATCCAGGGTGAATTTAATTGCTTTCGCTAAGTGGAAATTGGGTTAAAAATGATGCAGAGCGTGCTGGGGTGTCTTAAAAATCATGACATATGAGTTGGATGAATCGATAAATTAAAAGTGCACAGATGTTTTAATTAAACCCAAAGAAGTTAACTAAGATCACCAGAGACTTTTAAGCCTATGATTAATTCAATTCATTTTAAATACCTGTAGAAATATGAGGATGCCTCCATTTTGAGCATTATAAAAATTTCTAATCAATAAGCGCTTAAGCTGCCCTGAATATTTTTTTTAAATGACAGAAGGTGGTTCATTGAGTATAAGACCTTCCAGTACAGATAGGACAGAAGCAAGTGATATGGAAGGCAAATTTGGACAAATAAGTTACCTAACAATGGTATTGACCAAGAAGAGAAGTAGTGATCTTGTGTAGAATATCATTACTTATACAATGTCTACTATTCTTCAATGCTTATCAGTTTCTGTTTGGTTGGCTTCAATCAAAATGTTACAGAGTTGCCAGCATTTTCTTATGTATGAAAATAGCAAAATGACAGCATTTCTTTTCTTTTTTTATTAATTGTTGTATGGCAGTTATGACTGAGGTATAACCTTAAAATATATGTAATCTTTTTCTCCTACAACTTGAACCATATGGTATAGAAAATATCATGAAACATTAAGCAATGGGAAATGTAAACTTCCAGAACGTAGTGGAGATAAGGCTTCTGTACTGTACAGTTGTTTTTAGTAAATCACAATTTAGAGGTGAAATGCACTGCTTAAACAGAATATGATTCTTCAGTCTGGTTCTTTTACCTTTGTCTGTTTTTCCCATAGATATCCCTGGCAGCCTCAGCTGCCTTAGCCTGATTCAGCAGCATGGCACAAAATAGTTTCTTGGCTTGCCTCAGCTTTGGGCTATGATGCAACAAGAAACTTCTTTGCACTGTGCTGCTGGGCCATGCTGGGGTTTCCTGGAAAGCCCTTTGCATACAAAGCCCTGCCCCACCCTGCCCTAGAAGTACAATGCAAAGAAGCATTTTTGTGGTACAAAGGGCTTCCCAAGGTACCCCAACAGCACAGTGAAAAGGGCCTTTTCATGGTGCAAGTGGTTTCTGTGAAAGGCATCTGCAAAGGGGTGGGCTTTGCACTATGAAGGGTTATCTAGGAAGCTCCAACAGTGTGGCACAAATATTTTTTTTAAAAAAATATTTTTGCAGTGTAAAGGGTTTCTGTCAAGAAGTGGGCTTTGTACCTCAAGTGATTTCTTGGGAAGTGCTTTGCAGAAGTCCTTCACAACATGAAGTCCAGCTGGATCCAGCAGTTCAGTGCAAAGCTTCAGCTACCCAAGCCCCAGGTTCCACTCACAGTTGCCCTTGCCATCCTGCACTGTGAGGCCTTGTGCTGCCCAATGTTATGTGATCTGACTTTTGCTGTCTTTTTTTCTTCGTGTGCTAATGTAACATGAATGCGATGGATCTTTATGAGGAAACAGGTAGGACCATCTTCTCTAAGTATTGAAAGAAAACAACAGTGTGGTTGGGAAGAAAGCCTCCTGTGGCCAGCATAAAGCATCAGGCCAGACATCTTTGATCAACAGCAGGAGAAAAAAGATAGTGAAGGTCAGCTAGGGTGTCAGGAGTTATGAAGTACAGGAAAGTCAAAGGATATACTGTACTATAGGTAGGGGAGATAGATGGGGGAGGGAGCTGCAACACCTTGCAGTCATAAATGCAAATAGTTGCCAAGTGCCTAAATTTTGATTATGTGAACTTGGGGGCACTGCAGTGGCGCTAATTTCAGGCACCAACTGCTTGTTCAAATTGACATAACTTTGGTCACTGAACAAATGGCTGTAAAGTCAAGGCCTGGAAAGTGGTCCGGTAGAACTTTATCTGAATGTTATTACAGGGCATTCAATTAAATAAGGATGATGGACAGGAGAAATCCAGGCTAACATTTTTACTGTGCTTTGTGGTTGCTTGAGTTAGAAGCGGAAAACTCCACATGCAACAAAGAAAGATTTCTGGTGAATGCCATGAATGGCAGTGTTTAAAGTGGAGATCAGTGGCTGTATCTTGGATCCTGGCTGGAGAAATCTCTCCAGAAATTCCATGTGCACTCTGGACAGCTGCTTCTTATGAGCAGACTTCAAGAATTGAGACTTTTCAGGTGACTTATGAGTTGAGTGACTAGGAAACGAGAGATACAACCTAAGCTCACAGTCATAATACAGCCTTTTATGGACCAAAAGCTTGACCAAGTCTCATTCCTTAATCAACTTTGTGGTTACTTTTTACTGCTTTGTAAATATCAAGACCCTTTGGAACCACCAGTTTTTATCACATCGATCAAGTGACTCTACTTCTTAAAGAAAGAAGTTTTAAATATGATTTTAAGGAATTGGAAGAATATTTTTGAAAGAAACAGCAAAATGGTGTCTAGCATGCTTATTCTGCAGAGTTGACTAAGGATCCATATAGATTTGGAATAAAAAAATGAAATTAATTATAAAAATTCTTCCCATGGGAAACTGGGTTTTATAGGTTCTTTGAGAAAACACATAATTGCTATGAAAAGTTTTTCCCCCTGTGATTTAGAATAAACTATAGAATAAGTAGCATGTGAAAAGCAAGTCAATCACTACCTTTTGCACAGTCTGCTCCATGGTAGCCAGGAAAACAATGACAGATTCCGGATACACATTCGCCATTCCCATGACAATTGCGTGGACAGTCCTGTACAGAATCTGAAAGACAGATGCCACTGATTGTCAGTTATTTCTCCAGATAACATTGCTTTTGATCTTTGTGCATTTAATGAAATTTCAACATCTGAAATTCACTTCACAATAATTAGAAATGGCCCAAACAAATAAGAAAATCTTAAGGCTTCTTAACAATACATTTTCTAAATATTACTAAAGACTTTGTTTTTCTTTTTCTTTTTTGGTCGAGTAGCTATTTTCTCTCTGTGGGGGAAAAAAAAAAAGAATTTACTGCACTTGAAGGCATTTAGCAGCCCTATTTTCCATTTGAGGAAATGCAGAGGCAGAGAGGTCCCCTCTGTTATATAATGAGTCCAAATCGCGCATTCACAGCTAGGAGTCTCTTGTACTAATGATTAGAATGAGCCATTGTATTTTGGTAAGCGGCTGCAATTGTGTATTATGACTCAGAAGGGAGTCTCCTATATATGGTGTGATTTCTTTTTATATTGTATGTAGTTGTTCCATGTAGTAATTATTATAGCTGAACAATAATTTGTATGAGCAAAACATGCTAAAGTGGAAACTTTTAACCATGTTTTCCATAATCTGGAATGGAAACAACCATCATACTGCTGTATCAGTTTGTGTTATTAATACTTGTGCTTTTATTTTGTCTGTGCATCTTCACCAATATATATGTGGCAAAGAAAATCAATATGCTGAGAAAAACCAGAGAGCTACAGTAAATGTATCTCTATAAGCTTTGACTTCCTTTCAACACCTGAAAAGCCACAGAAATCTGTTGGAGTGCTAATGCTTCTCTTCTGCATAGCTGGTGCATCAAACTGTATGTCTCAGACACAATGGAAAGGTCCAATGATTTATTTCCAAGGAAACCAATCTCTGATAGAATACTGGCATCTTTGAAATCTCTCAATATTCAAAAATAACTTTTGTGGTTTAATGTTTGCCAGAAAGCTTACCTTTTGAAATGAATATTTTGCAGCATCTGTTTGTTTTGCACAGATAAGACCCTCTACTGAAAAAAAAAAAGAGTTTCTGTGGCCTCACACCCCACAGCCAGGCATTGTCAAGGCTTCTTTCAAACAAACAGGCAACAAACTGAACAATTAGATTTCCAAGGCCATCAAAGTTCTCATAAGTACATTTAGTTCAGAAAAGCTAATGAAGCTGTTCTGTAAGAATTGCAGTGACTGTTGTACTGAAACTAATTTTTGTGCCTTTTTCTCCTGTTTGTAACACTTGAGACCATGCTCTTTTAGAAGGGAGCAATAAAAATAATAATAAATGAAATATGTATATTGAAAATTATATATTTTAGGAATGCATATCTGTATGTCTCTATAAACACACAATTTATACATTGGTATAAATGCATATCTGTATGTCTCTATAAACACACAATTTATACATTGGTATAGAAGGTAAAGTAGAAGGAGTGACTCACAATAATTATCAGGATTTTTATATTAATAAAAATGATAATGACAGGAAAACACTTTAAAGTTAATTAATTTATAAAATTATAAACATTTTCTAGTTCTCAGAGATATAGAACAGTATTTCTGTATTTAATATTTATTTAACTGAAGAATAACATCTTTTGACATTTGTTCTTTTATTTAATATTGCTCAGTATTTCAAATCTCTATATATGGCTTGATGGTGAAGGTAATGGATATGTGTCAAAGAACCTCTGAACTGAATAAAATACTGTACTTTTCTTCCCTTTTTAGGCAATTACTATCATTGTGCCATCAAGAAGTCTACCTAACTATTATATCTATTACTTTGGACTTTCTCATAAACTGTGATTCTGTTCCTGGCAACACTTTCCAATATAGCTCTATGGAAGAAAATGTTGCAATTTTAAAAATTTGCATTTCTAGAAGATGCTGATTCTCTGAATATATGAAAGTATTGCGACAAGGGGTAGATTGTATATATTTACAGATGTAAGATTTACACGGGTATACATTTCTTATACTATCCTATCTTTTGATCATTCTAACTCAAGGCGGTTTACATTAATGCAATATTTAAAAAAACCTCTGTAAATTGCTAGCAACATATAGTCTATTTTATTTTATTATTGTATTTTATTCTGTTTATTTTTTATTTTGATCCTGCTTTTCATTATTTTTTTAATAAATAATACTAATACCAAGTAATACCTAATGTCCTTTTTTCTCCTATTTTCCCCACAACAACTCTTTGATGTGGGTTGGGCTGAGAGAAAATGACCAGCCCAAATTCACCCAGCTGGCTTTTATACCTAAGGTGGGACTGAATTCATAATCTCCCAGTTTCTAACCTGGTGCCTTAACCACTAGACCAAGCCGCCCAGTGCTATAAAAGATTAAAATGAAACTGGTTAATGCTATAAAATATTTTTCTAGATATTGCCAGTATTAAAGAGTTGAAAGGCTAAGGGAGAACATATTTAATATAACACAGTATTCCCCTGAGCTTATCAGACCTGAAGTCCAGTTAGAGGTTAGCAAAATCGCTGTGCATGTTTAAAAGAAGACCCACAAGGTTGAATAAGATCAGTGGTGGGATTCAAAAAAATTTTTACTACTGATTCTGTGGGCATGACAGGGGAAGGATACTGTAAAATCTCCAGTCAGAGGTGGTATTTGCTAGCTCTCCAAACTACTCAAAATTTCTGCTACTGGTTCTCCAAAACTGGTCAGAACCTGCTGAATACCATCTCTGAATAAGATATGTTTGAATGGTAGCACACATAATTTAATCATGTTTTATAGCCAAGAGTGCACAGCCATGGAATTCTTACCCAATATGACAGTACTGAAAGAAACTACTTCTTTATCTTTGCCATCGTTGTAAAAAGCAAGGTGCCACAGCCCCACATCCAAGTACTGAACAAATACAGCTTCATTCTGAACTAGCGTCTGGATACTTCGACGCTCACGAGGAGACTCCACGACACTCCATTTCTCTTTCCCATCTAAACGTTCCATAAAATCATACTATGGGAGAGAAGAAAAAAATACACTTGCTAATACTTATATTGCATAAAGTATGACACAAATGTATTAGAATGCTTATTTACAGTGGAGGAAAAATATAATGCTTAAGACTTTGTTTTGTTAGACCAGGCAGCATTGCTGAAGGACTACATCTTCACAAGGTTTAAACCCAGTAACTTGGTCTCTCACCGTCTCCTACTCATAATGTTCAGAGATCTTATACTAGTTGTACAAAATACAGAATAACAAAATTGGAAGGGATTTTGAAATTCGTCTAGTCTAATCTCCTGCCCAGTCAGGAGACTCTATACCATTTCAGACAAATGGCTGTCCATTCTCTTCTTAAAAACCTCCAATGATGGAGCTCCACAACTTCTGGTGGCAAGCTGTTCCACTGATTAATTGGTTTCACTGTCAGGAAATTTATTTTTAATTCTAGGTTGAGTCTCTCTTCGATAAGCTTCCATCCATTACTTCTTGTCCTTCCCTTAGGTGCTTTGGAAAGTAGGTCAATCACTTCTTTGTGGCAGCCCCTCAAATATTGAAAGGCTGCTATCATGTCACCCCAAGGTCTTTTCTTTGTTAGGACTAGGCATATCCAGTTCCGTCAATCAAAATTGAGCAAAGGAACTATATCCCTCCTGTGCTGGTCAGACAGTATATAGTTAATTGGGAATTGGGAG